CGACTACCAGACCTAAATCATCATTCCCGCCCTCATTCTCGCCCCAGTGCTTTGTGAAATACCCGACATTTCTATGCGTAAACTTGTTAAGGCAAAAACTTTCATAAACTGACACATTTGACTTTTTTACCAGTAAGTCTCATCGCAACTCGCCTCCCGTTCTGGCCAAGCTGAGCTGAGTTTTAATAGTAGCCGAAAAAAAACTTGCTAGATCAAAAAGAAAGCTATTCCATCACTTCTTTCACAATATCTTCCCGTACCAAACCCATTTCGAGCTCTCCTGCAATCGCTTTATCCTCCGATGTACTGGAATGTGCTTGTGCCCAATGCTTCGTGAAATATACTATGGTGTGCGCTGTAAAATCACAACGGCAACAGCGCAGTACCTCTCTGACCGGTTTCTTCATTTCCGTATCATCATTTCCCAGTTTTGCCTGCAATAATACCGGAGCAGCATTAGCACAAAAAACGTCCGAACTATCGGTGTATTCGAAGTGTACAGAGAGATATCGAGGGCAAAATCCAGGCCGTGTTTAGGAATGAATATGAGAAAGTCAAACCCTCCCCCTCTCCTTCCCTCTCCGTATTCGCACTCTTTGAGAAGTGGGGCGCTCAAGAGGTATCCGAGCAGTAGTAAAAGCCAAAAGGCTAACTACGGGACCCTCTTTTGAGGGGCTGCTTATAAGCTGATGGCGGCGTTAACTCTCTGCCTACGACAGTACCAATCTGCCTTCGAAATGAATGAAAAAAACACACAGGGACTAAGTATCTCACCGGCGGAGTCAAATTCCGGATCTACTGCATGAAAACAGTACTACCCCCATTATGCCATGGCCGCCGGCCTACACTTCTGTACTGCTAGTAAACAAAGGGATGTCAAGAGAATCGCCTCCCAATTCTCGACTTCTCTTTCACATAACATTCCTGCGCACAAACTTGCTAAGACGACAACTTTAATAAAATGAAAGACTTGACTTCTTACTTCACTAACAACCTGACGCTGAATTTCAATTTTCAGCCTTCTATAGCGAAAATTTTTGTTTCTATTGCTTACACTAATTAATCTTACTGTTAGAAAATAACGGAAAATTATTTTTGCGCAATTTTCAGAACTTCGTCAATGACCTTATGATGCCCAGAATAGGCCAAAAATCGATGAACACCGATTGCTTTCAAAATGGGCAATACGGATAACACGACAGTTTGCATGTTAAAAGAAAAAAAACCTCACCTTATCAAATTTCTATTACATTTTTCAACAGCAAAAAATTCTTCAAAAATTCACATTAAATTTTTTTACTTTTTTGGGATGAAAATGTTCAAGTAACTGACAAAAAAATACCTTAGCCAAAGTTGAAAGCGACTCGCTCAAATGATGATTGGCTTCATGAAAATCAACAACGTTCTTTGTCATTGATGAATAGTCGCAAACACAACATGTGAAAATCGACTTTGCCCCATGCATCTCGATATGCGTATTGTATGCTACGGCAGTGTCACAATAAAAGGAGCATTTGGAGCATGTTAGCTAAAAAAAAATTATCAGGAGTGAGATGCAGTGAAGAAATTTTAACAGAGTGGAACTTGGGTTAATACCCGTAATAATACAAATTTCATGCTCTGAAAGACTGTATAATTCCTGCTATTAAAACCAGCTCGCTAACAGTACGATTAAGCCAAGGATACAAAGCCTCCCGGATAATCGATGTGAGGATGTCAATGAGATAATCCACACATCAGGGCAGCTATACTAGGCCTTTCGATCCCGCTCTTAATACTGAGCCACCATTCAATGCATGTGTACTATCCCTTCGGAGGCTGCTAAGTGGTCGTTTATTTCCTCTCAGGCGCCAGTCGCTAAGACACAACTTCCACTTGTAGCTGGCATGGCAATCAAATGCCTTGAAAATCGGATTTTGTCACGTAGTGCAATGATACTCGCATTCCATAACCCTTGTAGTGACCAAGTTCAGTTGTGGAACTCAACAGGAGTGTATGCGGCTTAACAGACTGAAACATTTCTGCTTAGCTATTTTATTTTAATCATTTTTATTTTGGCTGACCCTCTCTCGATCTTTCATATACGCAGGCTGCATTTATTATTTCCAAGTTAGTTTTAAATAATACGCCTTCATTACATCTACTTTCTTTTAAAATATTTGAAATCGTCCTGAAAGTTGTTCATCTGACGACTAGCATGATTGTTTGTAGGGTTATGAAGAGAAACGCTAAGCATTCCCTGCTCCATAGTTATGTAATGAGTTAAATGAACAAATGTGCCATTGTATTCTTTGTTCATCCAACATGATTATGATTATCGTGGATATTCGAAAGTAACTCAATCAATGATGCTCTAACAGTTATTCACTGGTAAGGCCGTCAATGACTCCAATTTATGACTCCAACTTCTAAAGACTGTGACGCTTTCGCATGCAGCAGCATAAAATCAACGAAATGAATAAACGTGAAAGGTTTTTCGCAAGCAGAATTAAATTGTAGTTTTGAGCCTGAGGATAATGCTAACTGCTGCAACAAGCTTGATAGTGAAGTTAATAAGACAAGCAAAAAAATCCAGTTTTATAAACCTCCTGCAGCTACTGAATGCCGGTTCCAAACGAATTCCCCTCAAATTTTAAGCTTGCTTCTAAGCAACGCTCTAAAGAAGTCATCGACAATTTTTGTCTGCGGGTATCTGTGGTTGGCACTTGATGCCTTTGAAATAGTTCCGAATGTCCACGCCTTTGATGCAGAGCAAAATATGAAGAGGATATGACTTTTTACTTGACAATCTATTGGTTTTATGATTTTTAAAATTTCAGGACTTAAAATGAATATCTGATCCAGTTTTAAGGCAGTTTACATAAACAAATTATCCCTAAACAAATGGGAGTAACTATTTTCAAACCTGATTTGCGACACGCGTCCCTTTGCGGGTAAATCTTGGCTTTATCCAACGATCCCCACCTTGTGCAGCCCGTTTAATTGATGTCGTTAGACGCTGTTGGATACGCTGAAATAAATGTAATTTCAGGTATCCTTCAGCTACTTTTTTAATTTTTTCTGAAGTAAATGGTAAGCGACTGGACGTACCGGAAGAACTGTGGGAACCGATATGAAAGCAGAGCAAATTTATTTTTCTTCCGCTTCAATTTCGCCAGAAATCATGTAATTTTCTAATATTGAGGACCTACCATCGTCACTTCAGCTGAATTAGATGCGCACTATTTCTTGCCATAGTAATCACTGATGCTACCCAATAACAATAATTGGG